AAATCATATAAATACGATATTATGATAAGTTATTCACATAGTGACCGGCAGTTATGTTATCAAATTCATGAACGACTTGTTCAAGATGGATTTAGCGTTTGGATCGATCGTGATAATATGTATGGAACTACAATGATTGCTATGGCAGAAGCTATTGAAAATTCTGAATTTATTCTCATATGTATGTCAGATACATATAAGCAAAGCGTCTATTGTCAATCGGAAGCACATTATGCATTTGAACGACGCTGCCATTTGATACCACTTATTATGAAACATTGTTATAAGCCTGATGGATGGCTCGGTATTATCCCAGGCGAGCAAAAAATAAGGGGTGACGCCCGACATGACTAGTCTAAATTGTCCGTAGTACCCGTCTGGACTAGTCTAAAATGTCTGCACTGCCGTTTGGACTAGTCTGAAATGATTTGCAGCTAGTCAGGACTAGGCGCCTTCACAAGCAACGTCTTGCATCTAAAATAGACTAGTCCAAAACATGCTCTAATCTTGTTATGACTAGTCCTTTTGTATGTGCATACTGTCCAGACGCGTCAACTTAAAGGCAAAAGCTAGAAGAAACGGAGGCGATAGGTGGATTCGAATATTCAAGCCGACAATATTGGATACCTGACTAGTCTAAACTGTTTTCAATAGGTAACGCGGACTAGTATGAAGAGTCATCGATATTGGTCATGACTAGTCGTTTTTGAGAAAGTAATGCAAATTCTGGTCCAGGCTAGTCTATCCTTCCAAACAGTCTTTATTGCTTGGACTTAATCATTCGGACAATTTGTTTAGACTAGTTTGTATTGGGACTAGAACGATGTATCTAGCGAGAGTTGGCTATTTATGTCCTTTTAAGTTTTTAAATTGTAATAACAATCAAGAATAATTTTATTCGAAAAATTAATTTTCATGGATTGATATGAGGATATTATTTTATTTCAATATAAAACCTAATGATTTGAATTTAAAAATGGATTTAAACGGCAGAATCATAGTTCATTTTTAAAGTTAAATAGGAAATATTTTAAATTAAGATAAACATAAACCACGGGATGAGAAGCAAGATCTTTTTTGAAATGTATATTATTATTTTGATTTTGATTTAAATTTTAATTGTTTTTTCCAATAGAAAATAACTTTTTCCAAATGTCGATAATCAAAAAAACATTCTGTTGAAGGAAATTAAAAAAATTCTAAATTAATTTTGCTTAGCTTTATTTAACTAATTTTCGATTTTATTACAAGTAGTTTCTATAAATATTAAAACTTGAGAAAACGCTGAGTCAAACTGTAGTAGTTAGTGTCTTCAGATGTGTATTGACATGTAAAAGTTGATCACTAGATCATATGGCTCAATCGAGTAGACGACGAGTAAGTAACACAAGGTATGCATGTACGAATCTAACTTTCTGCATATATTTCTATCATTTAGACTAGTCCGAACTAGACCGCTACATAAGACTGAAACCTAATAGATGTCGCGTCACAGGCGCTCTGCTTTTTTAAATTTAAAATCTATTTTCGGACGGGATGCCCAGACGGGGCTAAAGATTCCAAACCATTTTGGACTAGTCATGTAGTAGGACTTTTTGAGAAAAAGACTAGACATGACGCATAGTCACGACTAGAAAAATGACTAGTCTTTTTACCCGTCCTTTGCTCGCCTGGGATGGTAAGCGGTAGAATTTGGGTGGATTTTACCAAGATCGAATTTACATTGGCCTATGAAAAATTGAAAAAAGAAATAAATCAAAATTGTCAACTGAATATGAATTATTCGATGGTAAAATCTAAAGAAAGAAATTATCCAGATATTTCTTCAAACGATTTCGAAATCTATTCAAGAGGCTTCAATATTGACTGATAGATCTCAGATCGTGTAAGTTTTGTTTTACAACTCATAACTGAAAAATTTATAGAATAGAAAGATGTTTCCAATAGTGATGACATTGAAAATGAAGTATTTCAAAATGGACCCAAGAGTTACGAAGATATTATTCAAATAGTATTGTTCTTGGAACATGAGCAGCGTTCATATTTACAGAAAAAGTTTTTTGATCGATTTTAAGATCATAGAAATAATTGTCGATTATAATTAAATGAGACTGAGATAAAGCTATCAATAACAGTTAGATATCCCTGTTTGTATTTCCTCATTCTATATTATTTCTTTATGCAGTGAACTACCTGATTGCATTACTCAATGGACTAATAAACATGTTCAATCATTTTTTCTAGCAAACGGACTTGATAATACTATGCTTCTTCTATGTTTGCGACTGGATGGTCATCGACTTTTACAGCTCTATGAAATTTGTACGATCAATCGTGAATCAATGTATCAATCATTGAAAAGTGAATTAGTCAATGTACATCACAAAACGTTAACAATTAGTGATTATGTTACTTTTCTTCATGAAATTCAACGTTATATTCCATTAACACGTACCATTTCTCAACCTGCATCATCATCTTTACCTTCTTCTACAGTTTGATAATTTATGTAACTTGATTAATTGTCATCTATTTTATTGGTTGTACGCTTACGCCCTCTATTTATCATGATAATGATTGGTTAAATTCGTTCTAAAGTTTATCCATCTTCTATCGAAGGAAGTTTGCTCGTCTTCATTTATTTGTTTGCGATAAATATTACAAAACTCCACACCTATTCCAAACTCATATTATCAATATTTCTAGATCACATCGTGAATTAATAGCTAAATAATGCCAACTAAGTAAGTCATTTTTTTCCTTTTTTTTCCTCAGTTATTTGCAGTGGCGGATCCAGGGGGGTGACGACCGCCTCCCCCCTCGGGTTTGACTTCACGGTTTTTTCTAGTGGTTTTCCTTGGAAATTTTACATTTTTGTCACATCCGCCACCCCCCTTTCGCTCATTCCACTTATCCGCCACCTCCTTCAAAAATTTCTAGATCCGCCACTGGTTATTTGTGATGTTTTTCGTATGAAATTCTTTTGTAAACATCTATGTTTTTGTTTTCAAATGAAAAATCTTTATTGTTTTGCGCGTTGTACATGTTTTTTTTTTTTTTACATTTTGCGCTAAATATTTCCAATGAGAAGCGCACCCCATTCTTCTTTTAGACCATCATCAACATTCAATCATGTGTACAAACAAAATTAATGTTATTATTTTAAATGTCTTCACACACATGCACACACAAGACTTAAATATGATTGACAAACTTATTCATCACTTATGACTGGTAAGAATAAATTTTGATTTCTTTATTAATTATGAGACTTTTAACGTTAAAATTCTATAATTCAAAAATCTAAACAGGAATAATCTAAGAGAAATTTGAGGTAAAAAATTGATAATTAATAAGACTGTTTATGTACATACTTATCTGATGAGATATGAATGATATTATAAAGTACATTAATTACTGAAGGTGAGTCATAACATAAGACTTTCGTAAGAGATAGTTGAGAAGTTTTCGAAAGGTTCTCATCATTTTTTAATTTCAATGTCAACATTTTCCAAAATTTATCTTGTAAAAATAAAATCAAAATTCGACTATTATATGCTACCTAGCAAGAGACAAATCAATTTCTTTCATGATTTGAAAAAGGCATGTGCATGATTCCCACTCACAGATAACGTTTACAAGATTTTCAGCCCGATCTGATAGAAGCCTCATTAGTTCCTATCAAAAACCTTATTTCTCTAGTTAGTTAGCACTACAGAAATGTAACAATTAATTAAAGACATAAGGGTTAATAAAGTCAATTTAAGACCGGGTTGAAATTCTTTCGATTATGAGCTGATGCGCAGTTCTACATGGATTATAAGATCTGAAGTATTCATCTCTAACCAATAAGAGACTTACTTTATATTTCTGTCAAAATACATCTCGTTTCATTTCCGAATTGTATACAGGCATCTATGATGAACTCGCTCAGCAAAATCATATCGATACATATATAATGAGGGTTCCCTTCTAACTTCTCCAAAGCTTGGAAATTTCTTAGCTTAAATATTATACTAACCACAATTGTTCATATTTATATGTAGGATCCACTGAGCACGAGAGAGATTCCACAGAAACTATGATAGGTATTCTGTCATTGGTCACACAATTCGAAAATAAAAAAAAATAAATTGACTAATACGATCTGCAGCTTCATTTCGAATATAATGGAAATGACACAAACAAGAAATTTTCATTTGGTTAGAGGAATTATCATTACAGGTTCAAGATATACAATTAGACTAAAGAAAAAATACTTAAACTTTAATCCTTTAGTCTCATAATTCGATCACAAATAGAACATGTTGAACTCTGATCGCAAGGACTAATCGGCCTTCATCCAAAAGAGTCAGAAAGTCAACCTATATATTTTTTTCAGACGAGGACATCTCAATTTAGGAAATAAATCTCATGACGTTAGACCTCTCATTCGATAGCACAGTGCTGTGGGTGTGGGAGAAGAGACTATTCCAAAAAATGGAACTTTCCCTACGCCTCAAAATTACAGCAGGCTGGAGTACACTATTTGTGACACAATATAAACATGTGAATCTGAGGTTAACACATTTAAATAGTGGAAAATCCGAAGTCTTTTTTTTTTGGACCCTCAGGAAAAAACCAGAATTTTTATCGTAAGTCCTTCGCATAAAGGCCTATTGATCTCGGGTTGTCGGTTGCGATCAGGGTTTACCAAGCTCTATATCTAAACAAAGTGATTGAAGTTTATGTACTTTTTATCGGATAGCGGAACTTCTAGCGATTATTGAATCTCTTCCTTAGAAATTTTTCATCTATGATATCTTTTACTTCGGAAAGATTTAATATAAAACATTATTAAGTATTGATATCGAAATATAGATCAAACTTCAATTCAAGAAGTTCTCTCGTTTTATTTTATACATTTAATTCTACAATTTTTTTTCTTTATTTTCATATAGATCATCGAAAATGTCTTTATATTCAATCAAGTTTTTATTGAATTTATTTATAAGATTCAACAGAAAATGATCAAAATTAGACAATAAATCTTTTCTATCTTGTGTGCTTCATTTTTTTTTCTGTCTGCGCGTTATTTTATCTTATTAAACAAAGAAAAAAAAAATAATTTGAATAAATTTTATTTCGAAAACGTTCATCAAGTTGATCATCATCATCATCCGATGGATCTCCAGGACATCGTTCATCATCACATCGATCAAATAGTGAACGAGATAAAAAACGTTCTCGACGTTCATCTAGTCGAGATAGACATAGACGTGATGGAAAATCATCAAAAAAGTATAACAACAAAAAAAAACATTTGCATATTAAAAACTGTTTTTTTTTCTCGTTGTTAGACATTCAAAAAAAAGTAGTAAATCTCATCGTACATCACGATCAAGATCTCCACTTCGAGAAAGTTCATCAACAACTGATAAAGAACGTCTTGTAATTTATCTTAATTGAAATTTCTTCGAATAGGAAGCTGAACAAAAACGTCTTGAAGAAGAAATGCAAAAACGTAAAAATCGTATTGAACAATGGCGTGCTGAACGTCGAATAATGCTTGGTATTGATAAAGTCATGCAACAATCAATTGCACAATCTACAAAAGTAAGCTGAATTAGCAAAATTCCTACATATTAGATTATAAAATGATAGAAAGTTCACATTCTTTTTTTGTTTTCATTAATTGAATTTTCTTTAAGGGTAAAACATGGTCACTCGAAGATGAACGTGATGAAGATGAAGAAGATTTACAAAATGCTGTTATACCATCAATAGATCTTAAACGTGATGTTGCTGCAGCACGTGAAACAGTTATGGCTTCACAAGCAGACAAACAACGAGAAGCTTTAGAACGTGCAGCACAAGCAGCTGCACTTACTTCAGCTGCATGTGTAAATGCTGAAAGAATCGATGATGAAGAAGAAGATCCTTTAGATAAATTTATGGAAGATATTGCAAAAGAAGTTAAAAGTTTTCGTGGAACGAATACTACTATTATTTCAACAAAATCAAATGAAAATAATTCGAAAGCAATTACTAGAATTAAACAAGAACAATTATCAAATAATACTAAAGGATCAGTTATTAAAATTATTACAAAAACAATTAAAAATGAAGTAAGAATAATAATTAATTAAAATTTCATGTATGAAGTTCTAGCACGTCAGATTGAATTTAAAAGTAGTATAGACTTGATTGATCTTGAACTTTTTCATATCATTTTCAAATTTGAATACAAAATAATAGAAAACAGTCTTTTAGGTATTTCGCACAATGATTGTCATTCGCTGAAGATAGATCATGGAGATCTTATTTTATTCAGAAAACTGATTTTTTGGAGGCGTGCTTTTCCAGAAACTTTTCATCTAAACCTGATAATAGAAATTTGGCAAGTATTCCTTCTGATAGAAACTTGTTCTAGGTATTACCGTCAAGGAAAAAAACGTCCAAAATATTGCATTTTTAAAGTTTTTGCCTCTAAGCTTTTGAATTATCTCTCTGATTACAACACATGAAATATTTTCAATTATTGTACTAGATAATTGTCGTTTAATGTAAAATTTTCTACACAGATATATCATTTACGAGGAGATTCGTTCAATTGATAAATCGCTTTTGAGTCGAGACTATATGTATTATGTAGATTGAAATGAGTTATCAATACCTTAAAAGAGTTTCTCATCTTAGCATATTGCTACTGAGATACTACAATTTTACGGTATTCTTTAAATGAATACGTGCTAATAGAAAAGCTGATTTTCAAATTTCGACTTCAAACTTTGTATAGAGACAGACCTTAATGAGAATACTTAGAATATATAAAAAGTTCTGATCATGGCGTTTAAAGGATCTTTTCGGATAAGGCCTAAGTGTTCTCATTAAGGTCTGTCTCTATACAAAGCTTCAAGTCGAAATTCGAAAACCAACTTTTTACCACGGCATTCATTTAAAAATACCGTAAAAGTGCAGTATCTCCATAGCAATAAGCTAAGAACTCTGAACTATTTTCTAGATATTCATAACTCATTTCAGTCTACGTAATGGACATAGTCTCGACTCAAAAGCGATCTACCAGTATATCCTATACTTTTCGTTTCACGATACTTCGATAAATATTAAAGATTTTAGTACAATCATAATGAAATCTTGAATGATTAACTAGATAGGACAATCGTTCGGATTGAATAGGAAATGTGAAAACTATCTAAATAAACTCTTATTTTTTTAAATATTTCTTATAGTCAACTGTTACATCAACGAATGAATCAAATAATGGTACAGTACCAACAACAAATGGTCATCATAATGATTCATCAATTGTTAAAACTAAATCAATGGATACTAGTGATCAATCTTCATCAGTTCCATCACGTGTTACAGTTCGTAGTGGTGTAGCTAAACGTGCTAAAGAAAAAGGTCTTATTATAGAACAAGATATTGATGGTTTAGAATATTCATCAGAAGAAGAAAGTACGAAACCCAATGAAGATCTTGATGATATATTTGCTATCAGTGGTAAAAAATGAAAAGCAGTAAGTTAAAAAATGAAATTATATATATATTCAATTCGAATTTTTTTTAAGGATTTGATTGTAACCAATCATGATAAAATATATTATCGACCATTTCGTAAAGATTTTTATACAGTTGTACCTGAAATAGCTAATATAAAAGAAGCCGGTAAATACAATAAAACAAAAAAATTTACTCATTTATTAAAATTCTTGTTTTCTTGTTGTTTTAGAAGTCGCCACATATCGAGAAGAGCTCGATGGTATTAAAGTAGTTGGTAAACGATGTCCAAGACCAATAAAAACTTGGTCACAATGTATAACATCCGATAAAATTTTACAATGTTTTAAAAAGTAAAAAAATTCTTTTCTTGGTTCTGAAAATAATATTATTTTATTTAGATATAATTATGAAAAACCAATACCTATTCAAGCTCAACCATTACCAATTATTCTTTCTAGTAGAAATATGATTGGTATTACTAAAACAGGCAGTGGAAAAACATTAGCATTTATTTTACCTATGTTTCGTCATATAAAAGATCAACCACCATTAGAAGATGATGATGGTCCAATAGGTAACAAAAAACATTTAACAAAAAAAATATATTCATTTTAAATATTTCTTAGCTATTATTATGACACCAACTCGTCAATTAGCATTACAAACAACAAAAGAATGTAAAAAATTTCCTCAATTATTTAATATTCGTTGTGTTCCTGTTTATGATGGTACAGGAATATCCGAACAAATTGTATGTTGAACATAATTGAAATTTTCCTCTTTTTTTTAGGCAGAACTTAAACGTGGTGCAGAAATTATTGTATGTACACCTGGCCGTATGATGATATGTTAGCTGCTAATAGTGGTATGATATAGAAAAGAAAAATTTATTCTTTAATTTTTATGTATTTTATTTTCTATAGGTAAAGTAACAAATGTTCGACGAGTCACTTATGTTGTTGTTGATGAAGCAGATCGAATGTTTGATATGGATTTTGAACCACAGGTATGGAAAGAAGACGTTTCTTTTTTTCTTTCTTTCGTAAACCTGAATTGTGGTTCGAAATCAACAGTATAACTAAGCGTAAATGTTGTCATTTGTTTACTTCTAGATTTTCGTATTTAGATTAGAAAAGTTTCGTATCGGAAGGCAACATAGAGTTTTTGATGAGATATTCGCCCTCCAGTCATGTTGCTTTTGTCTGAAATCCTCTCTTTTGATTTATTTCTATTTAAAGATGGTAGTTAAAATTGAAGCAGAACGTTCATAAAAGTTATGTCGATTTGCGCAGAGAAATTATATCTACAACTCTTGAGCGATTTATAGATCGAGTCTTATAGTCCTATCGTTTTAACATAATAGAGAGTATCAGTGCTGAAAATGAGAATAGTTTATTGTAAAAGATTCAGATCATTTTATTGCTTCTATTGTAAGATGTGATAGAAGAATATTTTTCATGTTGCGCATAGTTTCAAGTCGAAACTTTGTTTTCTCGATAGAGACCACAGTATTCTGCTAAAAAAACTACAGTATCTCGGTAGCAATAAACTATTAGCCTGAGCTCTCCTTCAGAGTATTCATAGCTTGATAGAACCTACAATAATTCACTTATATTCATCTATAACAAATATTCTTTTTTTTTTTACTAGGTGACAAAAATTCTTGATAGTATTCGACCTGATCATCAAACAGTTATGTTTTCAGCAACATTTCCTAAACAAATGGAAGCATTAGCACGTAAAACTCTTTATAAACCAATTGAAGTTACAATTGGTGGACGAAGTATTGTTTGTAAAGATGTTATACAATATGTGGTAAGTATCAAAACAAAAACAAATTAAATAAATTTCTTCCTATCATTATTTTATAAGGTTATTCTTGATGATGATAAAAAATATTTATAATTACTTGAATTACTTGGTATATATCAATCACAAGGTTCTGTTCTTGTATTTGTTGATAAACAAGAACATTGTGATGAATTAATGATAAATTCATATCCATGTATGTCATTACATGGTGATATTGATCAATACGATCGTGATTCAACAATAATTGATTTTAAAAGTGGTGATATACCATTAATGATTGCAACATCAGTTGCTGTACGTGGTTTTGATGTTAAAGATTTAATTCTTGTCGTTAATTATGATTGTTCAAATCATTATGAATATTATGTAGATCGTTGTGGACGAACAGGTCGTGCAGGAAAAATTGGTTATGCATATACATTTTTAACACCAGCACAAGAACGATATTCTGGTGATATAATACGTGCATTAGAAACATCAGGTACACCTTTACCAGAAGAATTAAATTTATTATGGGAAAATTATGTTAAAAAATGGAAGCTATGGGTAAAAAAGTTAAAACTGGTGGTGGTTTTAGTGGACATGGTTATAAATTTGATTCATCTGAAACACAATTAAAAGATGAACAAAAAAAAATACAAAAAGTTGTTATGGATTTAGGAGATTCGGATGAAGATGAAGAAAGTGAAGATGTATGTTAAAAAGTTTTAAATATTTAAAATAATATTTTTGTTTTTGTTTTTAGATCGATCAACAAATTCAATCATTATTTAAAAGTAAAAAATGAATTAAAGCTAAAGGTGATAGACCAGTCTTACCAAATCCATCAACTACTCAAAATGAAGAAGTTAGTGATACAACTACTATCAATGATACACCATCAAAATTAGAATTAACTAAAAAAGCAGCTGCTCGGTAAATATGTTCAATTTGAATAGTAGAAGAATTTATTCGAGTTCTTCTTTTTTCAATCTACGGAAAGACGATATTGCTAACTTGTTCCATTCGAGAGTTATAAAGATTTTCTAGAGTTCCCATTGTTATTTCAGGATTTCGAAAGTTTTACAAATAATAACTCTACATGTTACAAGTGTTAAATCATATAGAGTTCCAGTCGTTTGACTCAGCATGGCTTGGTGATTCCAGATTAATTGATTGAAATCGGAAGCTCGAGAACGGAACAAACTAGCAATGTTGGATTTGTTTAGATCGAAAGACAACAATTTTTCTACCTTGTTTCAAATGGATAGTATCATCATTGAATAGGAGGAAAAATCGTCTGAGTTCTAGAGCCTATCGGATTCGAGTTCGAAAATTTCGGATCCGACGAATTTTATGGCCTGCGCGACAAAAGTCAATTATCGAAATTAAGGTAAATGCATGAGAGGATAGCTCAAGATCTGCTCTTTCATAAATGGCATGAGTTTATATTCGGCACCTCCGTTTTTTTCCAGAATGATTTCTATTATCATCTGCTTAAAAAAAAAAGCTTGAGAACATGTTCGTAGACAAAAAAGATTGTCTGAACTTTACAAAATAACAATTGAAGTTCAATTGTTTTTATAGATGTACAGGGTAGAGCCCGTCAAACTGGTCCCGGACTCAATGGATTCTACACCGAATACAAAAACATCGGAAAAGGTATCTCGTATTTTCAATGCAACTATTTAATATCGATTAGGAAAATTTTCATTGAGAGTACCAAAAAAAGGTTACTCTGTACATCTCTAATTGTTTTCATATTAGTTCATTGATTAAATTAATACTGTCCGAATTCGTTAGAAATTATTGATTAATGTTTTTTTTTAGACTTACATTTACTAAATCCGAAACTCGAGATTCTATACAAGAAGCAACAACTTCATTATTTCAACGTGGTGGTACATTAAATCAAGCCGTATCTGTAAATATTTTTTCAGAGAATTTTTATCTGGAAAGAATTGAAAAAGAACCGATAAAATTGCTCGACCTCCAGGTGAGATTTAAAGCTGAAAAAGAATCTGATTTAGATCAAACTATATCAACGTTTGTTCAGTTGTGTTTATTTATTTATTCAAATGAAATTTTCTTTTTTTTTATTTTAGTAAAAAAGAAAATGTTAATGCAATTGACGAAATAACAAATGCATTTACATCATCAACAGTTCGTTATCTTGATGATCTACATTATTATCCAAATATCTTCCAGATGCACTAACAGGTACATTAAAATAAAATAAACTAAAGTCCTTCTAGAACTTTGTTTTATCGACGAAAACAAAATAGTATTCTCTCTCTCTCTCTTCGCCATGTATACACATGCTGTCTCTTCTTTTTCTTTTTAATTCGGATATTCTATTCTATGATACAATAAATAGATAAATTTTTATTTATTTAGATCGCAGTGATAAAGTTACACAATGGCAACTGATCGTCTTTCCGTTAATATGTTAATCGAGTGACAATTAAAAGTAAATAAACCTATCTGAAAATGAACTAACTAATCTTATCATTTTTAGAAAGATAAATTACGTGGAATAGTAGAATATTTACAATCTGAACGTGAACGTTTAAATAGGCTTATTCAAACAACAGAAGGAGGAGCTGGTGGTGGTGTTAATGATTACCAGAAGGAAATGTTATGATACAAAAAAAAATAAAATCATTTTCTTCAATATGATTTTTCTTTATTAAAACTATTTTGGTTTGATTAATCATTAAGATTTCGGCTTGAATAATGTTAATCATCGCTTGCAGTGTTTCTGATAGAAATCTAAGAGAAAAAGTCAAATAATATTTTCCTTTTACAATCAAAATGCCAAATGACACTCTATTTTTTTAACAAAGTATCAGACAGTATCCGAGGTGTGAATCGTTAGAATTAGATTAAATAAGAGAAATGTTTGATAAGTTTTTATTGATATTACCTTGAAATGAAATATATCCAAAGAATATGCATTCTTGTGACAAATTATAGAATGACCCGTTTGAGTCTAGTTGTTCACCTGTTTTCTGCCAGCATAGACTTTTCACGAGAAGCAAAATGTATGTGATTATATGTGTTCGAATATGCTCTATAGAAGTATAAAATCGGATTTCTCAATACTAAATATTAAGTTTGAGAAAACAAATATTTGCTCAAATTGGTCATTTCTGCCTGTGAAAAGTTATAGAATCAATAGCGTAGTTTTGTTATCTTCGGATCAATGTTACTTCAGTTTTGCATGAAGACCATATCTAAAGATAGTGCTGAACATTTTCATAAAAAAATTTTTGCAAAATCGTTTATATTTAAATATAAAATGAAATGTTCTTCGGCTCTGTGCACTATCTTATTAGAGGGTATAATCATGGTGACAATATCTAATAGCAATTTCGCTTAAGAATTTAAGATCACTCTTGTATTTCTATTGGTTGAAACAAGTATGAAACCATGTTAACAATTTTAGTCTCCATGCATTTGAAAGTCGAGGATCAACAGCATCTAAACATGTTCTAACGTATGTTGATTTATGTCCATTTCCAAGATAAATAAAAATATTACGCTCAAATGCAATTTTACTTTTTGTTTAATAATACAGAGAATTTTGTTTTTTGTTACTGTATCTAAGTCTCTAATGAGATAGTGTACAAAATTCAGAAAATTTCATTTTGTAGAAAAATATGTTTTCTATCCAGAGTCTGTTATTAAAAAAATAATCATCATTCCGCTTCAAATTTTCAGCTATAATACCGAGCTCAGACGACATTTCCAAGCCATTTTGGCTTGACCAATAAAATCTCATTTTAAATTCAAATATAAATAATTCTTCAAACGTTTTTTTATGAAAATGTTCTGCATGAATTTTTCTATATGTATATAAGACTTTCAAGAAAAACCAAAGTATTCTTGATTCGAAAATAACAGAACTATGACACTCATACTATGACTTTTTACAGACAAAAAAATGATTAATTTTAGCAAATATTTGTTTTCTCAAACTTAATATTTAGTAGTGAAAAATCTGATTTTATAGTTATATACAGCATACTCGAATATAGTAACCACATACATTTTGTTTCTCGCGAAAGTCTATGTTGGCAGAAAACGAGCGAACAACTGACTAAAACGGGTGATTCTATAATTTTTCACAGTACTGCAGATTAATGAAAAAATCTTAAGGAATTCGAAGTTTGCATATAATGAAAAGAGAAGTGTAAAAAATGTTCAGCAGATGTCAGCTTGACACTGTGTTTTTCTGAGCAAAGTGTAAAATAGAGTGTCAAACTAATATTGCAAGAATCTTGGATACTTTATCATAATGGTGGATCCTTGCTATTAGAAACACTGACTGCTTCTATTTCTAAAAAAAACTTTGAAAGAGAATTAACTGTTACCAATGAAAAGTATCACTTTTTTTGTATATCGTAGAAAATAAATAAAAAGATTTTACAAAAAAAAAACGAAAAATATTTTTTAAGATGATAGATTTTGTTGTCGTCGTAATCAAACTCTCTCTCTCCAGGATTACAAATTTGAATAGATGGTCGACACTTTGTTGCAACATTTGGACTCTATAAAATCGAAATAATTGTGATGAAATTTCTTTCTAAATGAGTTTATACCTTTTGTGAAGAATAAGTTGATGATAGTTTATTTGATGAAGTAGGTCGTCCATCGTTTTGAGTATTTTCTATTGCATCTGGAGATCCCATATCACGTTTTGTTGGACTTTCAGTTTGAGATTATGCTAATATTTCTTGATTATTTGATTCTATATTAGTAGTAATTTTAGATTCTTTTGCACTTCGTTATTGTTGATGCTTGGAATTAGGATTTTGTTGTTCACGCTTTTTTGAATGGTTTATCACCATCATAATCAATGGCATTCTATCGTTTCTTTTATAATTATAAATATATAAATATAAAATGAGATAGTGTTTTGTATTTCATTATCTGTTCATGGTTTGATGTTCGATAATCTGACTTATCATAACTATGTTATCAACGAACACATACAAAATATTCTGTTTAAAATCCAATTTTCAACAGAAACTAAATTTGTTTGATCACCACTATCAATAATAACATATATTGGTGAAGTATTATAATCATCCTCATTCATATTCGATGCATTATTTCTCGATGGTTGTTTATCATTATGACGTTATTGTTGCTGTCGGATGTGAATCATTTTTTCTTGTTTTCGTTTAAGAAATTCAAGTAATGATGTCGTAGAACCAGAGATGCAGAATCTTTCTCATGCGCATCCGCGCGGATGAAGAAATTTTTTGAAAAACTGCTTTAGTCGGAGAAATTTAGAAAATCAGTTACATTAGGAAAATTTTCGAAATCTGTTATAATAGAAAAATTTTGAATAATCATAAGGGGAAGTTCTTGAAAAAATGTTACGAAGAGAATTTTTATTCTTTGATTATTGTGAGAAAGAAACAGTGGACTTCAAGACTTCGTGAGATTTGAAAAGCAAAGTCTTTGTTGCTTTCCCTCATATGATTTTTAAAAATCAGAAGTGAAGCTGTCTGCCAGAATGCAGCATCGACCTTCAACCAATATATTCATCGCAGTCAACCTCTGGATCATGAGTCCTTAAATGAAGTAATGTTACATTGGGATGCACTACCGCTCCATTTACCAGACCCGTTCATAAAGTCCACCCTCGGCAATTACTTGTTTCACTTGAAAGACAAAAATTGGGTTCTTTTTAAAAACAGAACAGTACTGTGCATTCATATTAGGTTCACCTGCTTCACTTGTTTTGAATCACTTGAGAAAAAACAAATAGAAAGAATTCCGACATCGTACGAACAAACAGTAACGAAAGCAAGTAAACTGTTGGATATTTTTAATTGTGTTTTTGCTTACAAGAGAACACAGAGAACTGATCAATTGCTTTTGAGTCAGGACATGTACAATATGTTGGTTCTCGTGAGCTATGAATACCCTGACAAGAGTTCGAGCCCATGGCCTATTACTGCTGAGATACTGCATTTTTACAGCGTTGTTTTTAGCTCAATCCTATGGTCCCGCCTAGGAACACCAGACAAACTGAGTTGAGAATTTTGACTTGAAACTTTACATAGAGATAGGCCTTAGCGAAAATAGTTTATTGTGAAAGTTTCAGATTCTTTGATTACTCCTATTCTGAAATGAGAACATAGGAATCTGCTGGTGCATAAAGGACGTGAACAGCATGCTGTTACTAAAGCCATGTTTTAGGATATGAACATCAAAAAGATCAGAAACTTTTACAGTAAACTACTGACACTAAGGCCTATCTCTGTGCAAAGTTTCAAGTCGAAATTCACAACTCAGTTTTCCTAGTGTTCCTAGGCGGGACCATAGGATTGAGCTAAAAAACGCCGTAAAAATGCAGTATCTCAGCAGTAATAGGCCATGGGCTCGAACTCTTGTCAGGGTATTCATAGCTCACTAGGATCAACATATTGCACATAGTCCTGACTCACAGGTGATTGATCAGTTCTGTGTGTTTCCTCGTTAGAATAAGGTAGGTCTGCGGTTGGTGAAAAGGAACTTTGAGGAAATTATTCGAAAGGATTTCCACGGGTGAGAAAATTTTTGATTTTTTTGGAAGATTCTGCATCTCTGCGTAGAAGTGCCAGATTTGATCTTACTATGTATAATTATTAGAAAAATCAATGCTAATTATTTATGGTTTCGCATATTCTTATTACGTTTGAATATCACACTGTTTCTTTTCAATTTCTTGTAACATTTGTTTGTGCATTTGGTAACGCTTTTTTAAGCAATAACAGATACATTCATACTAGTAGCAAATGTTTCATATGCAAGACCCAAAAATGAATAGGTATAAATCAAAACTGGCTTTATTCTTTCATTTTATCTTGTTCAATTGAGTTCATTTTACGATCTTTAATCAATTGTTGTTCAGATTTAAGTCGACTTTGATTTTGATCCATATTCAACTGAACAAATATATTCATTTCATATATGTTAAATAAATTTAAGATAAAGAAAAGATAAAAATGAAAATACAATTACTATTTCCATCAATCAAAAGCATAACCTTGAAATTTTTCTTTAAATACAATTAAATCTTATGGATTATGAATATTGAGATCAGCACGAGACAATGCATATTGTTGACCTAAACTAATCGAAGAAATAGATACAAGAACATAAAGTAATTAAAACAAAATACCTAAAATCACCTTTACAGAAACGATAATAATTATGATCAGATAGTAAAGAAACAATTCCAAGAAATTGTTTACTCGTCAGTGTAGATTGTAATTAACGAAGAACAATCTCAGTGAAATTACGAAAACGACTTAAAAGGGGAGTGTGCAGTTAAAATTACCTTAGTCTGATTTTGATCGTTAAATGATTTAAAATTTGTAGATGGTTGCTGTTTTGTTTTACTACTAGTTCTGTCAATCATTGTCACCCTTTAATATACAAAGATATTTTAAGAAGATACTATTAGTTTTTAAGAGAAATAGAATCCCACTTTTTTCTTTAACCAAAGCAATAATTTCGAATCTTGTTGGTTATAACCGATCATTTTTCAAAAATTCTATTTTTATAATTTTTTCCTATTCTTGACGTTGAGGGTGTGAGGAAGAAGGTGGGAACAATGTGTGAAGATGAGGGTGAGGATGAAAGTAATTGTATTTTGATACAAAGAGTAGGAAAAAGTTATAAAAATAAAATTTTTGAAAAATGATGGGTTATAACCAATAAGATCCATAATTTCTATTTGTTGTAATTTAACTCATGGCGAAATTTCTTTTTAAAACTTATAATGTGTTTCCTAAACTGTTTTCAATGGCAAGAATACTAAGAGTAAGCAAAATCTACAATGCTGCTAGTTTCCAATGTAGACATTCTTCGATACATTATCCAGAGAATAGAATACACAGAATATATTTTTTTTTTGAATAAAATAAGACTATTTCAGAGAGTTAAATATGCTTTCGTAGGAAAAAATAATGAATTTGAATTTCCCAATATTTTGAGAATATTTCAGCTTTTTTCTCTTGTCTTTCAATCTCTCTTTGACTATATTGGAGAGGAAGAAATAAAAATGTATCTATTGCCTATCATCTCCTATTGTTATTCACTATAATACATTGTACTTCTTTCATCAATTAATGTCATAACGTTGTTATTTAAATCATCATTGATATTGATAACATAAAGGTAATAGATAATTCTTTTCTCTTATATTTATATTTACATCTTATTTTGTTGATAGTTAGAAAAAAATAATAAGTATATATTTTTACTAGGAATGCACCAGTTCGGGTGGAGTAGAAATGTGCAGGATAACTCTATGCTACGCTGCTGAATAGGATAGAGTAAGAGTTACAAAATTTCTCTCAGGCAGGATACAAATATGAAAAAAGCTTACTCGACACATCTCTAGGATCGACCAAGTGGGACTGACACTGATGCATTTCTAATTGTTACAGTATTTATTATTTCAGTTTAACAAAATAAAATCAAATATAATCTTCTACTGAACAATATATTTGAGAATACAACATATGTCCACAGGCTTCTTACTAATGTCTAATAGACATATTTTATTTTATTCTAAATATTAAATATTGTGTGTTAGAAGTAGCAGACTATATGATAAATATATTGACAAAAGAAGAATGACTTTACCCACTATAGATCGCTAAGGGGTCAAACATACTGACTTAATTCAAAGTGAATTAAAACTGAATTAACGAATAAATCGTCTCAAAAAGACGATTTAAATCGAAATAGACCAATCACGTTGCTTGATTCGTTTTATTTTTTTCAGTTTGTTCGGGGCCTAAGAAATTATAACGAAAAATATTAGACAAAAAGAAAAATGCCACCGTCTATTCGTTATAGTACAACATGACGATGTTAATATTCGTCCATTCTTCATTGTTCTTATATAGACGGAAAGGAGAAATTGCGTATATATATATACAGAGAGAGAGAGAGATTGACATGAACTCATTATATGAGTTAGATATGAACAACGGCATCAATATACTCGATTTACCTGATGAAATTTTACTCATTATTTGTAATAAAATGAACATGGTTGATGTTCTTTATTCACTTGTGGATGTCAATCAACGATTTGATCGATTAGTAGTTGATCCTCTTACTATTCGTAATCTTAATATGACTAGCAGAACCATCGAATCAATGTATGATCAGACCTTTTCAATAGATGATGAAGTTCTTTCAAAAATTTGTGAGAAAATCTTATGTCGAATTGATCATCAAGTAAATAGACTTACTGTTGAACAATATTCAATAAAACGTATTCTTCTTGCTGCTAATTATCCTCAACTGTATTCATTATCACTTATTAATTTTGAAGGAAAAATACTTTCTGAATATTTAACAGGTATAATATATAATTTTATTCATTAGATATAAATTAAAAATCATGTTTTTGTTTTTATTTTAAATTATAGGCGATTCCATTCTATGTGAACTTGTTAGTAAACAAATTACACATCTTAATATTGATATTAAAGATGCAAATGAAGAATTGTCTACTACCACTTCAAACATTTTTATATTAATTTTATCTTTATGTAAAAAATTATTTCATTTAAATTTTGGTGATTTATTTTTTGAACGAAAACATTGGAATCGTTTTTCTTGTTTACCAGTAACAAGTTACCCGTCTTCAACTTTAACTAAATTACAAATCAATGTCAGTACTTTTACTGAATGTCTGTTTCTTCTTGATACACATCTCGAGTGTTTATCAACATTAATTATTCATGTGAATGTAATTTATTATCCGATACAAGACGTAGATAACACGGTAGGTATAATTTTGATCATTATCTTTATATGAAAAAAAAAAAGCAAACTAATCAGATAGATGTTTTGAATTTTAATATTCTTTGTAGAAAAAACTTCCCAAATTAAAACATTTGTCATTCATTGCACGTACTTATACATATTATCATGATATTCATACTCTAGTTTTTCCATTAATTCGTCGAATGATAAATCTTGAAGAATTGAAATTATATTTATTAATAAAAATATTTGACTCAAATTTTATTGATGGTACTCAATTATATGATCAACTTCTTTTTCATATGACAAAATTAAATGAATTTACGTTTAGTATTCAAACACTTGTCTATAGATGTAAGACTACAATTAGTCTTTCATCGAATGAAGATATTCAACGTAGTTTCGATGGAAGAGAATACCAACAAGTTGGTTCATATGTGGATATTAATTCACATATTATCGAAGCTAAATGTCATATCTATTCACTACCATATGGATTTGAATATTTACCTGAAATCAATAATTCTTTTCCAGGAGGCATGTTTCATACAGTTCGATACTTGATAATGATTGATGGACATTCTTTTGAACATAAATTCTTTCAACTAATATCTGATGATTTACCTTTTCTTGAAATGTTAGATGTACATAATAGTAAACCACAAAAGGACAAGCAATATTCATCTACAAGATTGATTACATTTTCTTATCTTAAACTTCTTAATTTAAAATCGGCACATGTAGATTATGCTGAACAATTTCTCTTCACAAAAATGACTCATCTACCTCGTTTATTAAATCTTTGCATCAGTTATGAATCACTCACAATGATTACGAAGAATTTTACCATTAATACAAAATGTTTTAATTTCAATAAATTAAAAGATCTTGATCTAGATGGATCGTTTCCTCGTCCAGAAAATTTTCATCAATATTTTCCATTATTATAAGTTCTTTCAATAAAAGAAAATATTTTGAGAATATTTTATTTTTAATGATGCTATATTAGAATAAACAAGGTATAAATCTAATCAATCTCTTTCTCAAGATTGGTAGAAAACGATTCGATCTATTTTATATAGTGATATATACTAATTTTGAATGCAATATCTACCTTTTCAAGACATACTTTTGTCATTTCTGCAGAAAAAATATTGAAGATATTTGATTTCACGAGACAAAATTTGAAATTTAAAAATGTCGAAAACGTTAAAAACATCCAAGGTTCTGAGCGCATTTTGTGTGACATCCACAATCGGTGACTTATAATAAATCATAAGGTTATCATTTTCCAATTTCTCGTAAATGAAATCTTAAATTTCTTCGAGCAACGCTCGGTACTTCGGCTAGTTTCCTAAAGGCGACTATAAGTTTCATAGTAATTTTTGACTGCAGAATGAGATATGTGTAGGTTTGTAGAGGAAGACTTTCTCTATTCAATGATGTATATATTATCAAATTCTGTTGCGTACCGTGAGAGGATGAATTTTGGCTTCCTTCTACAAGATTTTGACTATTGTGTACCTAATACCAGCATCAAAATCGTATAGAAGGAAGCCAAAATTCAACATCTATGTCATTATATTTTCTTGCAATAAGAAATTTTCTATGCAACTGTTTGAGTATAATATGTTTTAATTGTATCAGTAAACTATTATTAATATATGTTAGTTTCGGATATAAATGATTTCAAAGATTTTAATAATTAGTTTAACATATCTTCATATTATTAGAATAATATAACAATGTCAATCAATTCTAGAACAATTAAAGACAAATAAATTTATTAGTTTTATGTTTTTGAAAGTATGAAATTACAATGATTTTTCAGTTTATTTTCAACATTAAATGTTTTTTTGAAACATATTCAATGGAGATTGCACAACTCGATTTCGTTTTCTCGTACTTAAATTTTTCGAATTAAATTATTATGATGTAGAGATGAACGAAAGAATATATATGGCAATTGTCGGACATCGTTCGAACTCATATTTGAGGCTATGAGTAGGACTTAACGAGACCAAGAAAACTCTGAAAGGTTTCGAGCTCATGGCTTGCCTAAATGGAAATTCTCCCAGGTCGAACTCACCCAATCGGATCCGAGACTATCCGACAGTTGGAGTCCGATAGGATCCGACCGTCGGAAAACCATCATTATCCGTTAGTTTCCGACGATTTCCGATGTCGGATTCCGATGATAGGATCCGACTATCGGAAATCGTCGGATCCGATGAAATCTGGCGATATTAAATTACCTAGCTTTGCTTTTTAGTGATTCTTAGACAAGATGTGAAATATTGATTAATCTTAACTTTCAAATCAATAAGAAACATTTAATTAAATAAATCATATTTTTTTTATTTAGATTTATGTCAACATCGAAATGACCAGTAAGTATTAATACTTACTGGTCATTTCGATCTTTAGATGAACCTAAATAAAATAAAAATATATATTATTTATTTAACACATTGGGCACGATTTGATTCTACGGGATAGCGAATAATATTTTTCCAGGGGGGGGTACAGCTCCAAATACAAATGATATCCGCATTGAATTTTATACCAAATGAAAGATCGTCGAAAGGAGGATTTAGCAGTGTAGCCAGCAATTCATAGAATGATTATGAGCTAAAGAATTACCAAAAGTTCTAAAATTTCAGACATATAATTGAGGATTTCCATGAATAGTCAACCACGAAAAACAAATAAATCTCAGGAAATTTTTCGTCTATCAGGCTTTGTAGAGCTCTCTTTGCCGATCATTTTAATAAAAAGATTTTTTTAATTTGATAAATAAATGACGGTGCTAGTGTCAAAATACTGAAAAAATCTTAGCTCTAGTAGACAGAACTGTCTCAATGTTTCTAGTATTTTCATCCCAGCATCATCATTTATTTATCAAATTTAAAAAATCTTTTTATCAAAATGATGGGCAAAGAGAGCTTCACAAATATTGACGGATGGAAAAATTTTCTGAGAACCTTTTGATTTTATGGCTGACTATTCATTTCGATGTTGAGATGAACCTAAATAAAGAAAAAAAAATTATTTATTTAAATAAATACTTACTAGTCATTTCGATGTTTAGATGAACCTACATAAAGAAAAAAAATATTATTTATTTAATTAAATACTTACTATTCATTTCGATGTTGAGATTGATCTAAATAAAGAAAAAAAATTACTTATTTAAATAATTTAAATAAATAATATTTTTTTATTTATTTAGGTTCATCTCCACATTGAAATGAATAGTAAGTATTTATTTAAATAAATAATTTTTTTTTTTATTTATTTAGATCTATCTCAACATCGAAATGACCAGTAAGTATTTAGTTAAATAAATAATATTTTTTTTTCTTTATTTAGGCTCATCTAAATATCGAAATGAACAGTAAGTATTTATTTAAATAAATAATTTCTTTTCTTTATTTAGATAATGCTCAACAAGAAAATGCAACGTGAGTATGATTTTATTAAAAAAAGACAATTTTATATTATTTAGGGCCAGTCCGAACGACATGAGATGATACTGATTAGTGTGGATGGATGTCCCAATTCTTTTTTTATCATGCTGTTTCCATAATGTATCAGCTAAGTATGATAAAAAAAGAATTGGGACATCCGCCCAGACTAACCAGCACCTTATATATATACTGCTTCATATAAAATAAAAAGCTGATGAGTGCAGCACCCATGCTGCGCGTAATATCTGGTTTACCTATAGAAGTCTAGTAGGATCCCGTCGGATCCTGTACTTTCCAAGATCTTCCGACTGTCGAAAATCGTCGGATCCGACATCCGACAACTTCCGATTGGAATTCTGTGCCAAGGAATCCGACACTTTCCTGTATCTTCCGACAACTTCCGATGGGATTCTGTCGAAAATTATCGGATTTTGCCGGGAATCCTATGGGATCCGATGGGATCCTGGTGTCGGTTTCTTCGTCCTGGGCTGGTTGTCACATAGATGTAAGAAAATGAAATATCTTTAGTTTTCCCTTGATTGTTGTTTTCTTCATTCAAAGAAATTGACATCTGTAATTGTTAACATAGAATTTTCATTTTATAAACAAAGTAGAGTGATTTTCATTTAAGAAAGTTCGATTAATCGTGAGATAATGTTCATTTAACTCTTATTGCATTAAGAAAAAAATAAGTAAAGAATATATATATATTTCTCTTTGCTGGAGAAACATACAGGTGTTAACTCTAGTGTATAGCGTATGAATTGACTTAACTATTTTCTCATATTCTGTTTCAAAAATGAATATGGCCACCTTAATTGCATCTCTTCTACGCACTTGAAGTTCTAGGGAGACCGATTCTCGATCTGTTCAACATTCTTAAGTAACGGAAATTATCGAACATCTTTACATAAGAATTCAAAGTTTTATATCATGCCTATCAAATGCCGGTTGAGACAGATCGTTCATCCGATGTTATATCGAAGAAGAAGTCGATGCATTAGTTTATATTTTTCTTGTTGTCAATTTGTATAAAAGCAAAAGATTTACTTTCACTATTATGAAAACTAAATTTTGATTTTGTAAAAAAGAATCTTATACAATTCATATACAACTCTATGCAGAATACGAAAGACAAAAGTATAAAAATGAATAACGAAAATTTTTATTTAATTATACCGTTCGTTCTCATCTTCGTTTTCAATCAAAATATGGTTGAACAGCAGAAACATCAAGTATCATATCAACTGTTTGATAATCTTTTACTAATTCATAATGGCATAATCGATATACTTCCATTAAATATTTCGATACATCAACAGATTGTTTATTAGAATTTTTCGTTCGTTTAAGAATTAATTTTGGAATAATATGATGAACTATGATTCAAAAAAAAACAGAATAAGTAAAGAAGAAACATTTGTGTTATTTACTTGTAATATTATCATTATTATTAACTTATTTGTTTATCGATCTTTTTCAATCAGATCGAGTAGAGAATAAATAATATGTTGATGTCAAATTTCGAAAATATTCGAATAACTTGTTTTAAGAGCCATTTCATATAAGCCACGACCGATCTACCAGAGACCTGCTCAATCGATGTCGTCAGATTTTGCTCAATTTAATATATGACGTAGGATATCTTAGGTCTGGATTCGGGTATTTCTTGAAACGATTCGCTCCAAAACACTTTCCAACGCAGTTCAACAACTTTCCAAGTAGAACTCGACGAGCTCTATCCAACCACACCATTAATTTTTTCCTAACCCCCCCCCCCCTCCCCTCAAATCCAGGAAATCCATAAATACCATCAAAAAAACGTATAAAATGCAATCAATTCCCGAAAAACTTGTCGCGATTCACCCCTGAGTGCTTTCCAACTAAACCATTAAGTTTCCAGATAGATCTTGACGTGTTCTATCCAACGAACATCTTTGGAATTAAATACGGTGCTTCTTTCCCCCCAAAATCGCCACTTCCGGGCCTCATTCCTATATATGTACAGAAACGGCTGTCACGATTCGCTCAGAAGCACTTTCCAAGTATATAAACCAACTTTCCAAGTAGATCTCGACGAGCTCTATCGAATGGACACCTTTGGAGCTCGATTCGATGCTTCTTTTCCCCTGAAATACACATTTCTGGGTCCCAATTCCATGATTTCTACCGAAAAACCTCTGAGGATTCGCCTAGAAGCACTTTCCAAGTATATCAACTAACTTTTCAAGTAGATCTCGACGAGCTCTATCGAATGGACACATTTGCAGCTCGATAGGATGCTTCTTTCCTCCGGAAATGGCCATTTTTGGGCCTCGATTCCTTGATTTCAATGGAAAAACTTCTAAGGATTCGTCCAGGAGTACTTTCCAAGTATATGAACCAACTTTCCAAGTAGATCTCGACGAGCTCTATCGAATGGACACCTTTGGAGCTCGATAGAATGCTTCTTTCCTCCTGAAATGGCCATTATAGAGGCA